GGGGCGGGCCTCACCGTGCGGGCGCGCGCCCACTGGCCCGGCGCCGCCCCGCCTCCCTCGGCAGCGCGTCTCACTGACTCTCTCCTTCTTAGCTGCAGCTAACTCGGGTCGGGAAAATGCGACGGCGACTGCCCACTCGAGGTCGTCATGGCGGCAGCCAGTGAATGTGTTCCTCTCTTCAGGCAGGCCCCCGAGTGTAGAGGAGCTGCTTCGCGAGGCGCAGCTCAATCTCCAGAGCCTGTTGCAAGGTACTGAGAGGGAGGGGGGCTGCGGCTGAGCCGGAGGCGAGAAGCGTCCTGCGCGGCGGCTGGAGGGAGGCAACGAAGAAAGAGGACAGGGACTGCAAGAGAAAAAGAGAGCAATTACAAACATAGTGAAAAACAAAGCACACATTACATTTCCCACCTTTCACCTTCCAGACTAATGATTCTAAAAGGCTGTTTCCACCGGTGTCCCCCCCCCTCGCCCCGTTCAGTTAAGTAAGGAGCCCTGGTGGCGAAGTGGTTAAGGTCGGTGGTTCGAACCCACCAGCCGCTCCACAGGAGAAAGATGTGGCAATCTGCTTCCGTAAAGATTACAGCCTTGGAAACCCTATGGCGCATTTCTGTTCCACTCCAGGGCAATGGGTCAGTTAAGTTGCCCAAGGGAAAAAAAGACAGAGGCTGAAGCAGGTCAATGGGTCAGGCCATTCACAAAGAAAGCTGGATAGGAGATGCCCCCAAATGTGAGCCCACACACCCCTTAGCCCTCCTCTTTCCACGTGGCCTGTGCCTTTGGAATCCCATCACCGGAAGACAAAGGAACCATCCTGGGCTTCACTCACACTGCTCTTGCAGAAACCTTTTCCCCGTTTCCTGGGTAGCCACTGCCTCACTAAAGTAACCCCAATACGCAGCACTCAGCGTTCATCTCATCCTCAGTTCTCAAGACCACTGTCTTTGGAGTATACTGATGAGCTTGTTGTATGCAAAGCTGCCCCACACTACCTGGAGAAGCAGCCCCAGCCATTTTGTCCGAGCAGACTGTGTGCAGCAGGCAGAGTAGAGAAAACCTAGATTTTGGAATCAGGCAGAACTAGAATCTAATTCAATTCCTACACCTAACTAGCTGTATGACATTGTGCATATTGCCCAAACTCCCAGAGCTTTGGATTAATCAGTCATCTTTAAAATGGAGATTCTGATGCCCCATATGACACAGTTTTGTGAGGATTAATAATAGAAAGTATGTAAACCACTTAGCAAGATCATCTTGCAGCTGCAGAGACCCTGATAGGATGTAACATCCTTTGGAATAAGGGGCTGAGATAGGCACGATATTAAAGTTAATCTACCAGAAAATACAATGTGATTCTTGCTCGGTCCTTACAATACGAAAGGCATACACATAGATGAAAAGGGATTTATTCAATATAGGTGGCAAAAGTGCTACAAGGAGGATTACTGGGCTGCTGCAAATACCTGGATGAAGAGGATATGCATATGTAAAGATTCACTGAACTGCACACTTAAGATATGTGTGGTTTACAGTTTGTAAGTTATATCTCAATTAAAAAAAAAGGTAAAAATAAAACCTCAGTGATAGTCATAAGCTGGATACACCCTTCAGGCACTCACTGTCCAATCCAGGCCACTTTTCCAAGCCTAGAGGCCCTTCCTCCCTCCTCTTCACTCCAATCTTTACACTTTCTTCAAAGGTACATCCTTGCCTCATCCAAAAGAATCTTCTGACACTAATTCTGTACTTTGCATTCCCTCCATAACATAACGTGGTGCTTTGTACCATCCAGTTTGAGAAGACTTGTATAGCTCTGAACTGCTTTTTCTTTCATTTATTCATTCATCTCTTCCTGGGTCTGTATTTTGTGCACCTAACCAGGCTTGAGTTTCTCAATGGAAAGAATCACATCTCTTAGTACCCTTGGGTTTCCAGAAGCACCTAGCACAGAGCTGGATCCCCAAGAGATGCTCAGGAAACATTTGTTGAGTGAATGCTAAATGTGAAAAGATGTCATGTCAGCTCTCATTTATCCATACCAACAAAGGTTAACTCATATGGAGAACAGAAAACTGCAAAAGGGCCATCCAACTGGACTACAGCCATAACTTTCATCTCCTTGCCAGGGCAACAGTGACCTTAGAAAAGCAAAATTCCAAGGGACACTATGAGCCTTGTGTTCCCATAACAGAGCAGCTACCATGCAGAAAAAAAGAGTCAATGTGTTCTGCGTAGCCACCAAGGGCAGAACGAGGACCAGTGGGCGGAAACCTAGAGAGATTTCACCTCAAGATAAGGAAGAACTTTCTGACACACCTGACAGCCTCAACAGTCCATGAATGGAATGAGCTGCCTAGGAGGGAGGCAGCTCCCCATCCCTGCAGGTGTGTGCACAGGCTGAATAAGCACTTGGAAGGGCTACCGAGGAGAGAGATTGAGCACAGAATGGGGTGTTGGACCAGAGAACCTTGGAGGTCCCTCTGAACCTCGAGTTTATATGACTCTAAGAGTCTGTTCTAATGTAAATACAGCCACACCTGTTTGTTCTTTGCCCTACTCTGGCTCTCTTCATTTACTAATCTAATTCATCACGGAAATCAAACCCATTCAACTATTATTGCATCCTTCTTATTCCCTGATGATGCTCCCAAACTTCTTCCTTCTATGACACTACCGTCTTCCCTTTTCTTCACCATAGCTCTCCTAGACCTCACACCACCCAAAGTGGGACTAAGGTGCAGGAAACCAGGCCAAAAAAAAAGAGGGAGGCTCCAGTAAGGGCTCTTGACATCTAAGAGAGAACTCCAGGTTGGACTTGCAAATGCAAATTTCTTCTTGATTCACACAGGTCACTTTTCTGGTAGGGTTGCAGAAAACCTGAAGAAGGCCTTCCAAGAGTGATTCTTGCAGTAAAAAGTAGCGAAATGTGTTTGCACCCTGAGCACCCTCTCCGAATTGAGCACACAAGGTGGGGGCCATGAGACGAGGGTTTGATCCCTGAACTAGCCAAGCGCAGGTTGAATTTATTGGCTTCCTTTTCTCCTCGGCCCTCTGAGCCCCAGGTAGAAGGGCTTTTTCCGTTTCAGAATCCAGAGGCTCAGACACCAGGAGATATTCTAAAGAAACAATGCACGTCAAGCCTGATAGCTAGAGCAGGAGTTCTGGCTCAGGGTCCTTCCCCAGACCAGTGCTTGGCCGTGGCTCCCTAGAGTGTGTATCCGCTGTGCTATTTTTCAGAAGAATATGAGGAACAGTACTCGGAGGCCAGACTCCTGGGGCAGACCTTCCGCTCTTCTGATGAGCTCCCTGAGGCCACCCCCAGTCCAAGGCCCCATTCTACCAGGCATCTGGAGTTAGTATTGATGGTGAGTTGCCTCCTCTTTCCCAACCTGGGAGAGCCAGCGTGCAGAGTTCACCCTGCACCCACTGACGGGACCACGAGCTGCTCACAATGCCCACTGGAAGCTGCTGCTCACCTTCACTCACCAGCAGAGCTACTCTGCAGCCCCACCAGGATGGGCCCTGCACAGGCAGGTACCTGGCCTGGCAGCCTGTCTACATTTTCCTGACTCCCAAATGATGCCTCCAGCCACCCTGCCTAAACAGCTAGCCTGTGGGCACTGGCTCATCTCCAGTCAGGAGCACACCCTTTCCATTACCTTCTTTCCCAACAGCCTACAAAACGGCAGCTGAGCAAGGATGAGACCACCACACAGGGTGTGAGGGCCCCCGAGGTCTCACTGAGCCTGTCTACCACAGCCGACAAGCAAACTGCCTGGAATAGCCCCTTCCCTCTACCCGTCCTAGAGGAGAAGCCATGGCCTCAGCCTTGCTCCACACAATCTGACATTGTGCCCATCAACATCTCTGGTAGAGTTGCTTAGCACCACCTCTGTTTGCTTGCCTCCATGCCAACTACAGACCATCCTCTCCAAATACACCGGGTGCTGGGGGAGGGAGCAAGACTTTGTTTGCTACTGGCTCACCTTCCACTGTCATCATCACGGCTCTAGCCAGGGGACAGAGGCATGCAGAAGAGGGGGCTCTGGCTGCTGTTTCTTCACTCCCTACTGGCACTACCTCACTAACTGATACCATCTGATAGTAAACAAAAAATTTATAACAGAAAACTCTAAAACTTTATGAACCTGTGTGTTCTTTCAAGAATGTATGGAAACTTAAGGTTCATGAATTCATTTTGATTTGGGGAAAGAAAACTTCTTGTGCCAAAAGCCAGGTCTGGCGCACACAGATAAAAGTTGGAGGGGAAGTGTGAGATTCATAGTGCTGGTAGGAAAAGGGGAAGGACCATACCCAGGGCATAGACCAAAAGCCTTGTGGCACTTTAGGTAGACACTAGGTCTTCTAGTGAGGTGGGCTTCTCAACTTGCTTGGCAAGTTTTTCAAGAAGGGAAGTAACAGAAAGGGACTAAGGCAAAAAAGACCAAAAGGGAATCTAGTACTACCTGTCCATAAGAGTGGAGAAAGTGATGTATGTAGCCCAGCTGGTTGTGACTTTGAGGACATGTGGCACACATACCATACCCATTATTAGTTTGTGTCTCACATTCCATTGGCTGTA